CCTGTTGCCATTTGGGTGTATTCTTTAAAGAAATATGTTCATGTATTTTGCTCTGGTTCAGTATCAAAGGCTTGGAAATTAAAAATGGCTTAGTCATATCCCCTTCGATGTGGATTACACCACAAACCCAGACCCTGCTCCCCTCGATCTGTCTGGGCCATCATTCTCACAATGCTTCCCCCTCCTCCACCTACTTGAATTGCTCACTCTTGCTCCATATTTGGTCCTCCCTCATCACTTACGCCACATTCAAACCCTTCTGGCCAGAAATGGTTTACATCGCTGTTATCATTCCCAGCACTTTGTGTAGCATGTTACAATGGCAGGTGGTTGAATGAAAAGCTGAAAAAACACTTGGTAAATGCCTTTGGACAGGACTGCTTAGACTTTATACAGGTGGTAAGTATTTATCTACCACTCAGAAACCAGCGACCCACCTTCCTTTCATTTTCTGCTGGTGAAAATTCCATCCTTTGAAGTTGCGAGACATTATTTTTGGACTCTCATTCCTGTCTCTTCGTTCTCATCTTCTGAGCCCAGGGTTCTACTGTAGGAAGGACATGGCCCACTGGCACCTTTCGGGCCATGCTCTCCCAACCTCACTGCCTGAAAGGAAGGCCCTGCCCCACCCCCCCAGCTGTGGTGCAGAGTCCTGAAGAGGACCCCTGGCTTGGGTTACATGCCCATCTCTATGGGCAGTCTTGGAAGATGGTGGTGGTGGGAGGGAGTATGCTGAACAGATTCTACCCTGGCTCAGGCCATTCCCCAGCCAACTACTGAGGTGGGGTACAGCAACCCATTGGCCCCCCCTAGCCACAGACTTGGGTAGGGGTAGGAGAAAGCAATCCCCCAAAGAGGAGGTGATCTCCCCAACTTGTTAGAATAAGTATCTACCACACAGGGTGTCTGTCCTGGCTCAGATTCTCCTAGCTTCCCTACCTTGGTCAAGTCCTTGATTTTCACATGGCCTCTGTTTCCTTATAGCCTATCACATACTGTGGTCCACAATTCTTTTTTTTTTCTTTTTTTAAGATTTTATTTATTTATGCATGAGAGACACAGAGAGAGGCAGAGACACAGGCAGAAGGAGAAGCAGGCTCCCTGTCAGGAGCCTGATGTGGGACTCGGTCCCTGGACCAAGTAGCAGACAGTAGCAGTCAGCAGACAGACGCTGAACCACTGAGTTACACAGAAGTCCCCACAATCCTACTATTGTAGAAGGAATAGGGCAAAGAGTTTCTCCTTTTAAAACCTTTGTATGACATTGATCCTTCCTCAAGTGTTCAAAGCTATAGGAACTCCACAGTGTACTTACCAAGCCCCTGGGACATAGCTAAGTGTTTGCCCTTCACCCATAAAGAAGGAGACTAAGCTCCAGGCACATAAATGACTGCCGTGGGGTTAGACACACAGAAAGCTCCCAAGAAATGTTTGCGGGCTCCATGCAGTCGTGTCCTCACGAGATTTGTCTTTAGTCAATACAACAAACGACAGTTTAATGTTTATTGCAACAATTGATGGCCAGATTTCTTTGTCTAATGAGCAGTTGATATCCGAGGAATCAAATTTATGGTTAGTAGAGTGACAGGGCCAGCTTTGGGACATGGCATGATGATTCTGAGGGATCTCTAACTTCATCCAATATGAGGGTGTTTTAATGATTCAGTTTTGTAGTCACCGCAGGAACTGAGCTATTCTTGTGTGGACCGCACAGGGCTGTTGGCTGACGCCAGGCTAGGTAGGGCTCCCCTGGTCCATTCACCTCCGCTACCCAGCCCCAGGCCTGGCATGTCTCTGCACATGGGGGCTGGGTGAACGTGCAATGTTAATGGGATGCAAACACGCAGGGACTGGGTCCTTCGCTCTCTGGGAGGCGACTTGAAGGCAAAGGCAAGGAGGGCAACATGAGTAACTTGTCGCCACTTGTCAGCTGGCATAATGGAGAGTGCAGTAAGAATCATGAGAATTCAGATAACCCATGCAGTCTGGACTCAGAAAAATAAAACAACATGAGCAAGGAAAGGGTGAGAGCTTGAACTCATCAGGAACAAATGTGCAACAGACCCGTGGGGAAAGGTCAGTTATGTTTGTAAGCAGACAGAAGATGCCATTTAAAAGGAGATTTAACATTGCTGCTTTGGGAAGCACAGTTTTATTTGCTTTTACCCAAGTCCCAATGCTGCTATTAGTATCACGCAGTGATTTCACATGACCCTCCATGATATGGACGTGATCAGACAGGGGTTATCTCCTGGGCGGCCTGCACGTGAGGTGAGCAGCTTTGTCTCGTTCTCTGTCCTTGGTGCATCCCTGGCGCTTCATCGGCCTGCTTCCCACGTGTGAATCAACAAAGGGAAAAAATGAAAAGCTTGGAGGGGGGCTGCCAGTGCCATCTGCAATGCTCATAAGCACTGTCTGTAGGTAAACATGCTTTTTTTAAAAAAAAATTAAGTTCAATTAATTAACATATAGGGTATTATTAGTTTCAGAGCTAGAGGTCAGGGACTCATTAGTCTGATATCACACCCAGTGCTCACCCCATCATGCGCCTTCCTCCATCCCTGTCACTCAGTGACCCCATCCCCCTACATGCTCCCCTCCAGTTAACCCTTGGTTTGTTTCCTAGAGTTAAGAGTCTCTGATGATTTGTCTCCCTCTCTGATTTTGTCTTATTTTTAATTTTTCCCTCCCTTCCCCTATGTTTTTTTTAATTTATTTATTTATGATAGTCAGAGAGAGAGAGAGAGAGAGAGAGAGAGAGAGGCAGAGACACAGGCAGAGGGAGAAGCAGGCTCCATGCACCGGGAGCCCGATATGGGATTCGATCCCAGGTCTCCAGGATCGCGCCCTGAGCCAAAGGCAGGCGCCAAACCGCTGCGCCACCCAGGGATCCCTCTCCCTTCCCCTATGATCCTGTTTTATTTCTTAAATTCCACACCAGTGAAACCATATAATTGTCCTTCTCTGATTGACATATTTCACTCAGTCCACTATTCTCTAGTTCCATCCACATTGTTGCAAATGGCAAGATTTCATTTTTCTTTCTTTTTTTTTTTACTGCTGGTAATATTCCATTGTATATATAGATACTTCATCTTCTTTATCCATTCATCTGTCAATGAGCATCTGGGCTCTTTCCACAGTTTGGCTATTGTGCACATTGCTGCTATAAACACTGTGGTGCAGGCACCCCTTTGAATCACTGTATTTGTGTCTTTTGGATAAACCTAGTAGTGCAGTTGCTGGGTCATAGGGTAGATCTATTTTTAACTGTTTGAGGAACTTCCATACTCTTTTCCAGAGTGGCTGCACCAGTCTGCATTTCTACCAGCAGTATAAAATGTTCCCCTTTCTTTCGCATCCTCGCTAACAACTGTCATTTCCCGACTTGTTAATTTTTGCCATTCTGACATGTATGAGGTGGTGTCTCAATGTGGTTTTGATATGCATTTCCCTGAAGCTGAGTGATGTGGAGCATCGTTCTATGTGTCTGTTGGCCATTTGTATGTCTTCTTTGGAGAAATGTCTGTTCATGTCTTCTGTCCATTTCTCGACTGGACTGGGTTAACATACTTCTGAAACACGATTGCAAACTGTATCTTACCAAAATAACCAGGGACCTCACATATCACATGATAAGTCACTGTTAGCAAAAGAAACATCTTGCGGTGCTCACGGTTTCCTTAGCACACTTGTACTTAAGAAACGGGGTTGTCTCTGATGTGGGCCTCCAGTCTTATGCTAGAAATGAGAATGAGACTTATTGTTGCTCTGTAATCAATTTATCATTTACCACCTTACACTTAGATGCAACTGAAATTTAAGAAAGCAATGAGGCTCAGGACCTCAGGTTTTGCATGCCATTCCATTGTATATTGCTCAGGTGTATATTTGATATCTCGGTGCTTATTCCACTTGTCAGTACCAAATGCATTATTTAACATCTTTACATCTAAAACCATCTAATTTATATAGCATATTTTACTCTTAGCACACATTAGGATGATATCTTTCTAATATCTTTATAAAGAAAATGTTCTTAATATTGAGAGAAAAACAGGTTAAGAAAAAGAAGCACCATCAAAAGAATTATTACAGAAAATAATAACTGAGAGGAACTGGGTGAATAAGTAAGTCACAGTAATGAACCCCTTGAAAGGATCCCACTGCAGATGCCTGAGTGTGTGTCAGAGTGTGCCTGTGAAAACTGAGGGTTCAGGTCGAAGTGTGTGTGGGGATCAAGTGGGTAGATGTGCAGGTGCAGGGAGGGAAGAAGGGTTTGTCCCGTTGTGCTGAGGTCCTGGGACAGGCAAGGCCCTACTCCACGGACACCAACGGGCACCCAGAAGGGTGTGGAGGGTGGGCTCTCACAGAGGGCGGCATCGTGAACTCCTTTTGTGATCTGGGCCAGCTAGCTCTCACCTGTAAGGTGTGACTATTTCACTGCCTTACCATAGGTGGTGTAGGGGATGAGTGAGGTTTCTGAGTTCCCTGGGGAAATGGGGCTACTTCAATGCAAGGTATGGCTTCATCAGTGTCTCTGCCTTGGCCTGAAGCGGTCTGTAATCTAAGGCACTGTGCCAGTGACTCAGCTGTGCACTTTCTCCCCGTGCCACAGCAAGCCAGGTGCACACCCAGCTACTCAAGTCTAGGAACATGCCGAGTAGTGGACATCTGTGCTTGGTGAGCCTCCTTCCCTCACCTTCATCAACTCCACTTGCACCATGAGACATCACTCTGAAGTTGCCGCAGAGCAGAAAGCTTCCTAAAGACCTCACTACCCCCACCCCCGCCCAGATTCCTGAGCTTGAAATTGTAAAGTTAAGGAAGCACCTAGGTCTTCAACTGTAAAATTTGAATTCACTGTAGAGTTCCATGAGAGGAGCAGTGAAAGAAAGTTAGGTCGAATAACCTAACATTTCCCAACTTGAAACATCTCTGGATGTGGTTTATATTTTGGTGAGCATTTCCTGACCCAACTTCCAGAAATCAAAACTTGGTAAAACTGGCACAAAACATGATTTTATTTATGTAAATATTTTTATCCACTTACGAGAGAGAGACAGAGACAGCACATGTGAGAGCACAAGCAGGGGGAGCAGCAGAGGGAGAGGGAAAAGCAGACCCCCCCCCCCCCACTGAGCCTGGAACCTGAGGACTCAATCCCAGGACCCTGAGATCATGACCTGAGCTGAAGGCAGACACCCAAATGACTGAGCCACCCAGGTGTCCCCCCAAAATGATTTTAAAGCAAATTTCTAAAATGGATGGTGCTTTGGGAAATGCTGGCCTAGGGACTGGAGGAGCAGCCATACCCAAAGTGGACACATAACTCAGGAACTCTGAAGACTGGCTCCTGGAGGTCATGGGGACAGTGGTGTGAGCTCTGGGAATGGTTCCATTTACAGTTGACTCTTCTAGTTCCTGTCCTGTCCTCATGGGGTTTCACCTGCAGCAACACATTTGAGGTGACCTCATGTAGATTTCTGAAGCTTCTCAACATAGCTCCATCATGTCCAGCACTGAGACCCACAAATGCCGCACATTAGCCCCTCCAAACTCCAATCTCTCAAATCATCACAACCACTGTGTTTTACTTGTGTTTCCCCCCTCTCCTACGGTCCAGAAAGTGCTTCCCGCCAGAAAGCTGGACAGTAAGGCCCACTTTGCTGGTTTCCTCTCTCTGGGCGACTGCGGTCCAGTACTGCGTGTTGTCAAATGTCAGAAAACACTCTGTCTGGGATCCCTGGGTGGCTCAGAGGTTGAGCGTCTGCCTTCAGCTCAGGGCATGATCCTGGAGTTCTGGAATTGAGTCCCAAATCGGGCTTCCTGAGGAGCCTGCTTCTCCCTCTGCCTCTCTCTCTCTCTGTGTCAAAAAGAAAGGAAAGGAAAGGAAAGGAAAGGAAAGGAAAGGAAAGGAAAGGAAAGGAAAGGAAAGGAAGAAAAAGAAAAAGAAAAAGAAAGAAAAAGAAAGAAAAAGAAAGAAAAAGAAAGAAAGAAAGGAAAGAAAGAAAGGAAAGAAAGAAAGAAAGAAAGAAAGAAAGAAAGAAAGGAAAGAAAGAAAGAAAGAAAACAGTTGACATCTGACATCTGGACTTCTGGACATCTGACATCTGTCCAGTTTTCATGTTCCAATGCGGGAAGCCTGCCTCAGCTGCGCTGGCATGACCAGACGAGGCAGTTTCTTTTTTGTTGCCTTTTTTTTTTTTTAAATGATTTTATTTATTGTTTCTTTTAAGGTCTTCTCTTTTTGGGATATATTTCTTAGCTGCACCACATGCAGTTAGGTGTAGATTTCTCTTAATTTTTCTTACTGGATGCTCATCATGTTTCCTGTGTTTGTGGACTGATATCTTTCATTGGTTCTTGAAAACTCTCAGGAGTCCTCTTTTCAAATACTGACTCTCTTTCACTGTCTTTGTCCTCTGCACCCCACCTCCCCGCCCGAGACCTGCAGTCTGACCATCTCATTCGGCCCTCCCAGTTGCTAAACGCCTCACTCACGCTGTTCCATGCCTTTCCTTTCTTGTGGTCCATTCTGGACAATCCTTTCCTGCCTGTCCTCAACTGGGTCTCATCTGTTTACTTCAACAGTTACTTTTGTTATCCTTTCATGGAGGTATGATTGATACACAAAAACTTGCACATATTCAATGTACACAACTGGATGAGTTTGGACATGTGCACACACCTATGATACCATCACAATTACATTTTTAAAGACTGTTCTCTTTTGTCCTTTTCCAATTATTTTTTTTTATTTCAAAGCAATACAAAACTTATAGAAAAGTTGAACATATGGTGACTTCAAACCCTTTTCTCTGAACCATTTGAGAACAAGTCTCTAGGTTAACACTGCATCACCCTCAACTACCTTAGTATGTATTTCCAACAAGGATTTTCTTCCTACTTATCACTTACAGTCATCAATAAGAAGTTAACTTTGTTACCTTCCTTTCCTCTTGTCCTCAGACCCTATTCATTTATGCACAAGGTCCCAGTAACAGTCATTACAGTGTGGACGGTTTCCTGCTTCCAGGCGGCAGGCTGTCCCTGTTGCAGCTCTGCTGCCCTTGCAGATGGCTTCTGGGCTCCAACCCCTCTAACACCCAGTTCTGATCCCCCGTGCCCCACCTTCCACCTGCATGGAAGCACTCTCACAGTGCTGCTGTGCTGACATCCCAGTTCACCCTGAGGCTATTCCCACCTCATGCTGAGCCCACACCCCAGGGTGATGTCCTGGTATCCTGCCCAGGCTGGGACTCTCCTGTTGCACTGCCCTCACGGGTGGAGGCCCTCCTTAACCCTGGGCTACAGTCAACAAGGGCATACTCCTCACCCTTTTGATCTCAAAAGGGCAGCTCTCTTATGGGGCACAGAGTCTGATACTCAGATCTGGGTCAGCACAGCCAACTCCACCTCCCCCACCCCTGTCATGTCACCACCAGTGTCACCTAATGGCTTTAGGACAAGACTGAGGAGAAGGCTGGGAAGAAAACAACAGCTACAGGTTTCTCTGGTCACTGTGGGGTCTCCTCTTGGTTTCTCACTTTCACTCATTTCCTTACATAGTTCATGTATTTTTGTTTCTCTTCATTTCGATATCTGAGGTCCTTGAAAGGGCAATCTACATTTTCTATTTTTCCAACTCTCAACTACAGTGGTTTCTTCTTTTATGTGTTTTGTGATCTCTGATTTTAAGTTCATAGTTGGTTGATCTTAAACTGTGAAAAACAGGAATGTATAATTTGAGGAAGACCTTCCAGGATCTCTGACTTAACCAGGGAGCATCATGTTCATACTCTCTCACCCCACCATAGGTCTAAAGACTTATTTGCTATTAGCAGTCCTAACAGAGGTACCTTCTCTCAGGGAAACCTACTTTTCTTATATGCTCACTACTTACAGCTCAGGCCTCTCCCCCCTACCCCCGCTTCTCTCTTGATCTCCTGGACATTTGTTTTAATTTCTAAAATCCAGCAATCCAACACATTTTTTTTTTCCCTGAAAAATCTGTTTTATAGTAGGGTGGAGGGGCGCTAGACTCTTTGGTCCATGTTGGCAGAAGAGGAAAGCTTCTATATTAATTTTTAACTAAAAACAAAGCTGAATTTGTACGATTTTCAGTGGGAGATATATAAAATTATAAGTGCTCCTTAGCAGGGCTTCTTACATTCAATCACTTATACCCCTGTAATGTCACACCTGGCAGCAGCTTCATGTAAGAGGACAGAGAAGAAACACACATTGGGAGCAGGGCATTATCGGGTGCTCCTCCCTGCAGTCCATATAGGCATGCATGAGCTCCTCACTGAGCTGCGATGCAACTCAGGTGCAAGATAAGGTATAGGAGCTGCTCTGGCTTAGAGGTCCTTGACCGTGGGAACTGATACATCTTGTAACAAGTCATCTGAGTTTATCTTTTAAATTTCCAAACTCAGTTAAAAGAGAGCCTAAAGGTCTGGCTTCCTGACAGATGTTTAAAGATCATTCCATTTTCTCCAGCCAGAGGCAGTGTACCAGCTGGAGAGCATCTTTAACACAAGGAATGATGTTTTATAACACAGCTGATATCCTGACTTCATTAGGTTTCTAGGCTTGACTTTCATTAGGTTTCAACCCAAAGTGAATTCTGTTGAGAAGAAAAGGGGTTTTGTTAAACCTTTACTCACAGTAATTCATCAAGATCTTCAAATATTTGGTGTCTGTGCTCAAACCTGTTCCAGCAGGTGATTGATGAAAAAATTAAGAGATTCTGGTCCTAGAGAAATTTTAGAGACAGAGTTCTTTCCTCAATTATAACCTGGCTACAAAGTATCCATGAGATTGTTTTAACTTTGTGTATTTGGTTTTTTGAACCATCCTTCTCTGTTTTTTAAAACAGATTTTATTTATTTATTCATAGAGACACACACACACAGTGAGAGAGTGAGAGAGAGAGAGAGAGAGGGAGAGAGAGAGAGATGCAGAGACACAGGCAGAGGGAGAAGCAGGCCCCATGCAGGCAGCCCGATGTGGGACTCGGTTCAGGGACCCCAGGATCAGGCCCTGGGCTGAAGGCAGACACCCAACCGCTGAGCCACCCAGGCATCCCCAAAATAACTTTCAAAATGGTATTTTAAAAAAATTTCAGATGAGAATTACCTACATCAGTTATTAAACCAGGAAAGCTAATTTTTTCCCAGACATTTTATTGTGAAAAACCTCAAACGTCTGCAAAAGTTCTAGAGATCTTAGAGTTCGTGTCGGCTACTGCTAAGGCGTTGTCACACGCCCCTCTGTCCTCCCGTCCAGGAAGCCTCCTCCTGTGTGGACTGAGACGGAGGCTTCCCAACAGGTGTCTTATCTCCCCACGGTGCCCAAGCGCTCTTCTGCTGTCACAGCCGGTTTCCTAAACGACGAAACTTTATAACGGAGCTTCTGCTGTTAGAACCTCCTCGTGCTCCCTACAGCTTCGGGGAAATGCCCCGAAGTCCTGGATGCACTGGCCCCGGGGCCCCTCTGCAGCTGACCGCTTCCCGAGCCCCTTGGTCTTCCTCGGACCGCCCCGAGCGTCGGCTCAGCCTCCTCCTCCCACCGACCGCCCGCCCCACCCCCCGCCCCGCCGTCATAGTCCAGGTGTGCAGTCCGCTGCCGACAAGCACACACGGCTGCCTCAGCCCCGCGCCCTCTCCCTCACCGCACTTACTACCACCTCGTGTTCCAACCGCTCCGCCCGCTCAGGCTCAGGAGCGCCGACCCCCGCCGACCTCCCGGGCCCCAGGCCCCGGGCCCCGCGCGTCCCCGAAGCACCTGCCGCGGGCCTCCGACGCGGCCCCGCCTCACCGAGCACGCCCCGCCCACCGCTCCGCGGGCCGCCGGCCGGAAAGCGCGGCGCCAACTGCTGCAAAGCGCCGTACGACAGAACCCGGGACCGGACTACGGCCGGCAGCAGCCGCCGCCGCCGCCGCCAACCCTGCGGCTGCAGGAGCCGACCGCCGCGGCCACCCGCCTGCTCGCCCTCCGCGCTCGCCCTGCGTCCCTCGAGGCGGCCCGGAGCCGCCGCGCCGCGGAGGCGGCTCGCGCCCGCCCTGCCGGTCGCCATCATCCCGGCGTGCACCGCGGCGGCGGGCGGGCCGGCGGCCATGTTGCGATAGTCTGTTGTTTTCTTCCTGCGGAGGAGCCGGGACCGAGTGGCCGCGACTGCCGGTCTCCTCGCCCTGTCCCGGTCCCGGCGCGCCGCCCCCCGTCCCCCGCCGCGCGTCCCCGGGCCCCGGCCGGCCGGCGGCCCACCGGCTGGCTTGGCGGGGCGCGCCCGAAGGCCGGGCCCGCGAGCACCATGGCGGCCGCCCTGGGAGCGGGCGGAGGAGCCGGCGCTGGAGGTACGTGAGCCGCCCGGCGCTGGGGGGACGGGCCGGGGCCACCTCGGGCCGCGTCGGCCTGGGGCCCGGGAGCCTGCGGGCGGCAGCCATGGGCCCCTCGGCGAGGCGGCGGCGGCGGCGGCGGGGGACGCGAGGCCGGCTGCGGGCGTGCGGGGCGCCGGGCTTGTCGCGGGAGGAGGCTCCGGGCCGCTCCGCTGGGCTGTCGGGCGGGGTGGGCGGGGTGGGCGGGCCCCGCTGTGCGGGCGTGTGGGGCCTGCGGCGCTCAGGAGCCCGGGTCCGTGCGGAGAACCCCCGCCGGCCGGGGCTGCGCCGTGCGTGAGCGCCTCGCTGGTCCGACCAACGTCCCCCGGCGCTTGGTCAGCAGGGGCCGGGCCGGGCCGGGCCGGCGGGGCAGCCCCAGCAGCGGCTCGGGCGCCGGACGCGTTCCGGGCAAAGTCTCTCCGGGGAGCTGACGCTTTGTTGATGGAGTGTGTTTTAAAGACCTTAAAAATGGAAGAAAAATCCTTGAAAGTGACTGACGGTGATTCGAAGGTGTTGGTCCGAGGAACCTTAGGCGGTCAAGTGTCTGGACGAAAGCTTTGGGCACGCGTCATGGAAGCAGCGTCCAGGTGTCCGCTCCCGAGATCTTCGTAGCAGCGCGTTGCGGTGATCCTGCTTAGAACTTTGCTGGGAGTAGGAAAACGTTTGGCGGAGTGACGAGACCACGGGGTTTGCGCTCACAAGTGTCCCTACGGGCCTGTGGTTTGGTGCGCACCGCCTCTGCCCGACTGCTGATTTCTGCTTGTCAGACGCGAGGCTCCCCAGTCAGGGTTTGGAGATGCAGGTGCAGCTTCCTTGGTTACTTTCTGGGGGCCAGTGAGGCTGCCCGGCTAGGATTTGGAGATGCAGGTGCACCTCCCTTGGTTACTTTCTGGGGGTCAGTGAGGCTGCCCGGCTAGGATTTGGAGATGCAGGTGCACCTTCCTTGGTTACTTTCTGGGGGCCAGTGAGGCTGCCCGGCTAGGATTTGGAGATGCAGGTGCACCTCCCTTGGTTATTTTCTGGGGGTCAGTGAGGCTGCCCGGCTAGGATTTGGAGATGCAGGTGCACCTTCCTTGGTTACTTTCTGGGGGCCAGTGAGGCTGCCCGGTTAGGATTTGGAGATGCAGGTGCACCTCCCTTGGTTACTTTCTGGGGGTCAGTGAGGCTGCCCGGCTAGGATTTGGAGATGCAGGTGCACCTCCCTTGGTTATTTTCTGGGGGTCAGTGAGGCTGCCCGGCTAGGATTTGGAGATGCAGGTGCACCTCCCTTGGTTATTTTCTGGGGGTCAGTGAGGCTGCCCGGCTAGGATTTGGAGATGCAGGTGCACCTTCCTTGGTTACTTTCTGGGGGTCAGCAGCACGTGTTCTGTTCGTTCTATAAGGGCAGCCAGAGGATTGCTGGGTGCTAAAGTGCACACCATGCTCAGTGGGGTTTCAGAAGCTGTGCTATGTATGAAGACATGTGTCTTGGCATGTTCTTTCAAGTTACTAGTTTGTAATTTGTAAGATAGTAAATGTCAGTGTCCTCGATACTTTTGAGTCTAGAAAGTTTGGTAATTGCTATTTTAGGGCCCCATACAGGCTTTATGCTTGATGTTTGCAGTTTTTCCTTCCATTTCATCCCAGGCACCTGGTTTCCCCTTGCTCTAGACTAAAGCCAGAGTCCTCACAAGGTGTGGGAGTTCTGTATGACCTGGCTTCTAGGACCTCACCAGTAGGCACACTGCTCCCGCTCTCATTTTGTGCTCACTAGCCAGGCCTCGGGCTCCTGGGAGGCCTTCTTATCTAAGGTATGTCCACTTCCTGTTGGGGAGCCTCCCTTCTTCTGTTCTGTGGTAGGCTCCTTTTTCTTCAGAACATGGATCCTAGTTGGTAATTTTATTTTATTTCTTTAAAAAAAAATCTCCCTTTCCCCTAGTCTAAGCCCCCTGAGGACAGTAATGCTGGCTGTTTTACCTGCCTCTTATTCCAAGTTCTTGGTAAATTGTATATATTCAACAAATAATTTGACAAATGAGTGAATTAAAGTATGAAATGTTTTCCTTATGGATCTTCCTGTATCATTTTCTGTGCATATGTAAGTTGAGGATTTTCAGCTTTGTGGCCTTTTATGGTATAAACAGAATCATGTAATCTGTAGTGTGCTTTTATTCACTTAAAAATAGGTCCTGGGGATAGAGAGGGCACCTGGGTGGCTTACATGGTGAAGCGTCTGCCTTTGGGTCAGGTCATGATCTCAGGGTCCTGGGATTGAGCCCCACATCGGGCTCCCTCCCTGCTCACTGGGGAGTCTGCTTCGTCCTCTCCCTCTGCCTCCCCTGTGTTAGGGGCACATGGTTGTGTGCACCCACTCTTGTTCAAATAATAAAATTCAAATAAGTAAATAAGAGAAAAAGGAAAAAAAAAAGGTCCTGGGGATCTTCCATGTCAGTAGGTGAGAGTTTTATGGATCCACTATTGATCATTTAACCTTTTTTCTATTGATGAGCATTTCAGTTATTTCTACTTTTTCACTACTGTGAAAAATACTGTGTTAAACGCCTATAGACACAACATAGTGTGCTTATGCAGATGTTTCTGGAGAACAGATGCCTTTGGAAGTGGAACTAATGTGTTTCAAGTTACACATATTTCAAATACTGATAGCTGTTACAGGTTGTCCTTAAAAACAAGTTGGTACCACTAAATCCTCCTCAGTGTCGGAGAACCCCGTTTCCCATACCCTAAGAATATTTTTAAAAAGTTTTGTTCATCTTTGGACAGAAAAATAGCCTTACTGTTGTATTTTCCTTATCTCCAGGGAAGTTAGGCATATTTTCATATATTATTTTTCTGTGAATTGCATGTTTATATCATTTCCCTTTTTTTTATTGGGCAGTTGATCTCTTTCATTATTTCTCATTCTTTGTATACTGCATCAGGATTATTAATCCTTTTTAAAAAATGTGCTTGTCCTGTACATAGCTTTATTTTAAACTTTAGTATATGGAAGTTCAAAATTTTTACTTTGTGAAATATGTCCTTTATTTTTTTAAGTATTTTTTTTTCTTTTTCTAATGGTGTCTCTGTGCCAAGAGTTTGTCTATGCTTTTAACATTTTATGCTTCAGTGCTTTTTATAATTCGCTTTTATTCCATATAGAATTTTACTTTGGGTGTCGTGTGCATTTGGGACTTAAAACAGTTCTAATATGATATATTGAATTCTCTGTCTTTTCTGTCTTTGTAGTATATTTCCATTAAGAGTTTTCTAGGATTACTGTTTTGTCGTGTGTGTGCATATATATGTGGGTATGTATGGGCATATGTTATGTATATATCATGGCATGTTCTTTTTCAGAAATTTCTTGATTAGCCCTGTGCATTAAAAAAAAATGTATTTCAGAATCATTAACCACGTTCTGCAAAGAATTCTACTGGAATTTTTATTTGAGATTGCATTGAATTTATTTACATAATTTGAGAGTGGTTGATATTTTTAAAATATGGTTTCTTTTATCTAGTAACAAAGTGTCTCTGTGAAGCTTTTCTTTTTTGTCAGTAAGTAATCTACCAAATGTTTGTTGAGTAACCTATTTTGTGTTGGGCACTGGTCTAGGGGGCTGGGGTACATAGATCCCTACCCTGTGAAACTTACCTTAGTAAAAAAGAATTTTTTTTTAAAGATTTATTTCAGAGAGAGAGTGCTCATGTGGGGGTGGGGTAAGGGGGAGAGGGAAGCCAGAAGGAGTCCTATGTGGGGCTCCATCTCCTGACCCTGAGACCATGACTTGAGCTGAAATCAAGAGCCCGACACCTACCCAACCAACTGAGCCACTCAGGTGCCCCAGTAAAACTTCTTTATATGGTTCTTTCACATTTGTTACTTTTTATTCTTAGATATTTTGTATTTGTCATAATGGATGGTGTGGTTTTTTATCTTACTACATTCTCTCTTTTGTTATTGATTTACTAGAGAAAAGCTTTTAAAAAATACAGTGGAATTACATACAGCTGGTTTTTGAAATCTTTTTTAATAGTTTGGTACTTTAGATGTTCTAGTTAGTTGTACCTGCCGCGTTTCTTATTCTCATATTTATAGCTCTCATTTCTTTTTCTCCTACTTGACTCAGAGACTTTCATTATCAAGCTCTCCAGTATGATGTTGAAGACTATGGGTGATGACAGGCATCGCTGTCTTTTCTTGTTCTGAGTTTTAACAAGTGTTCTTTTAATGTTTTGCCATTAAATATGGTGTTTACTGTAGGTTTCTGCTAGTTACTGTTTTTTTTTAGTGAAGAAAATTGTTTTTTGAGTTGGGCTTTTAATTTTATCAAATACTTTTTCTACATCTATTGGGATGATGTATGAGACCCCTTCTTTCTTTATTTTTTAATATTTTATTTATTTATTCATGAGAGACAGAGAGAGAGAGAGGTAGAGACACAGGCAGAGGAAGAAGCAGACTCCATGCAGGGAGCCTGATGTGGGACTTGATCCTGGGACTTGAGCCAGGATCATGCCCTGGGCCAAAGGCAGACACCAAACCACTGAGCCACCCAGGGATCCCGAGACCCCTTCTTTAATCTCTTAACATGTTATATTGATAGATTCTGCTGCTGATCCAACCTTGCATTCTTGGGCTCACAACCTTCTGCATGTTTTGTTCTTTTTAATGTATTGTTGGATTTCATTTTAGGATTTGTGTATGATCATAAGAAAGATTGGCTTATAGTTTTCTTCTTTTGCATTTGTGTGCATGTGTACTATCTTTTTTAAAAATGAAATGCTGGTTTCCTAGAATGAGTTGTGAAGTTTTATGGGACAGTGTAAAAAAAAAAATTCTCTATATTAAATGTTGGAAGAACTCTTGTCTGCAAAGCCATTGGGTCAGGTAGCTCTTTATTTTTCAGTTTCTTTCACCATTATTGGTCTGTTTAGGTTTTTAGAAATCTCTGGGTCATTTTTTTTAAGTGTATTTATTATTTGTTTAATCTCTAC